CTCTTTTTTCTTTTTCTTTCTTTCTTTCTTTTCTTTGTTTCTTTTTTTTTTTTTTTTGGTACTGAAGACTGAACCAAGGGGTGCTTTACCACTGAGCAACACCCCCAGCCTTTTTTATTTTATTTTGATACAGGGTCTTCATAAATTGATGAGGGTCTCACCAAGTTGCGCAGGCTGACCTCTAACTTGAGATCCTCCTGCCTCAGCCTCCTGAGTAGCTGGAATTACAGGTGTGTGCCATCAGACACGACTCAATGATTTATTTTGTCTGTTTTGTTTTGTGACGCTGGGGATGGAACCCAGGGCCTTATGCATGCAAGGCAAGCACTCTACCCATTGAGCTATATCCCCAGCCCCTCAAAGATTTATTTTCGTCATCCTTATTTTACAGGAAGAAAGGGGGTCAGTGAGGAGGAAGGTCTTGCCTGTGTCATTCAGCTGGTTAGAAAGGTATTTGGACCCAGGGGCATAAAGCACCAGCCACACTTCCCTACCCTTCCAGAACCTCCCAGAACAATGAGACTCAGTTCCTGACGGTCAAGAGGCAGGCCCAGCCTTCTGACTTCATCCCGGCCCTGACGGAAGATCTCCACGGAGGAAGGCCCCTCCTCACCTCAGATCCTCTGCTCTCCTCTTTGTCTTCCTCAGTTCTCAAAATGCCCTCCCGGCACCCCTCGCCTGCTTCTGGTAGCAGCTCCGTGAGGCTCGCCTGGATGAGGAGACCGGCTTGGAGCCCTCTTGGGGTCACAGGGCTCCTAGGTGTCTGACAGGACACCAGCCTGCCCTCGTGAAGAAGGGCTGGGGCCACAGTGGACACCTGTCCCCTCTGCTGGAACTGCCTCCCTGCTGTCACCTGGGAACTCATTCCCCTCTCCATCTGCAGGACCCCTGTCCCCGCCTGGCCCATCGGAACCAGTGTCAGTGCCTGGGCGGGAATGTCAGTGCCGAGGCGGGCTCTCCTCCCAGTCACCTTGACCTTTTGATGGCTGAGCCAGGGGCCAGCAGCCAGGGGTGCCAAGGAGGACTTCTCTAAGCTCCAAGTGACAAGAAGGAGCCAGCCTTGGCAGAGAACAGAGACATATTACAGTGGGGAGAGGCCTGGGGGTGTGCATGTTGGCACTGCAGAGCGGGAGGCTGGCGTGGCAGGACAGGGGAGGGGAGGGAGAGGAAGGACACGGGCTCGGAGGCCAGGAGGCTGCGAAGGCCAGTTCTGAGGAGGCTGAGGCCTGGCTCGCTGCAGAGGAGGCCAGGGCCAGGGCTGAGGACCTTAGTCCCTCCCTTGGCATCCAGTTTCTTTCCCCGAGGCCCCTCCTGGCTGCCAGCATGGGTGCAGGGCCACCAGCAGCCGGGTGCAGTGAATGGAGGAGGCTGGGCCTCAGTGAAGTGGTGTGATGATTATCCCCCGCAGCCGAGGGCACAGCTGTTCATTCAGGAAATGAGCAGCCGGCACCACCCACCCACCCACCAGTCGCTGAGTAACAAAGAAATCGTCTGCTTGAAACCAGGGGCTCCGCGTGGAGGCTATTTTTGTGAAAAGCTGAGAATTTAAAAACTCATCTCCTCAAAAGCCTCCCTCCCCGTGGAGATGCTGAGAGGTGGCTAGAGCCGAACAGCCCCTGAGTCCTGTTGACTCTAGGGGAGTTGAAGTTGCCCCTCTTGTTACCTACCCTCAGCCCACTCACAGGGGCCAGGCCTGAACTGCCACAGCCTTGAGGCCACGTAGCTCTTTATAGTACACAGACTCCTAAAACACTGCTGTCACTTGACAGATGACGAGGAAGCTCAGACACAGAGGGGTTAAGACACTTGCTCAGCATCACACAGCTCATATGGAAATGCAAAGGTTCTGGTTTCATTACACCCTTGCTCTTTCGGCTATGCCACAGTGCCTTTGAAGTGTTTTCTCATCCCTGGACATTTGCCTTCTTGACCCTAGAACTTGTCTCCAGCCTGTACTACATTTTTGCCCAGCAAATTAGGTAGCCCTTTCTTCCTCCTCCACCAGTGTCTTCTCCAGTCCAACCACTACTACCAGGTCTCTTTCTTTCAGAGAGCTCATTTGTTCGTGCACACAGACGTTCAGCAAATTTCGGTTAATTACCTGCTCTGTGCCAGTTGATCTAGGCTCTGGGAATCCATCAGTGGACCAAGAAGTTGAGCTCCTTGAGTTCACAAGGGTCACATCTCCTCTAGAGAGAAATGTCTGATCACAAATGATCAAAACCAACTGGGAAAGACGGCAGAATCCGTGGAGCTGAGTCCACCTACTGAGATGTGGGCTGGGGACCTCTCTAAGGGGCCCTGAAACTGAGCCCACAGGGTGATGGAAGCAGCCTTGTGTAAACCAGGGGCAGAGTGTCTCCTGAAGAGGGGGCGGACAGGCAGGTGCCCAGGCGGGGAGCATCTGCACACTCCGGTAACTTAAGGCTGCAGATGTGTTCAGAGCCTGGAGTAGGAGCAGGCAGGGCCACCCTCTGGGGGACTCGGGGCTTGGTGAGAGGGCTACTTCTCATCTGAAAGGAGGGGAAGGTGAGCCTTGTTCCTGCCTCCGGACAACACAACTGGCACCCGACAGGGCCCCTCTGAATGACTGGGTGCTCACGTCCAGGGTACTGATCAACGCAGGCAGGAGGGTTGGGGAGCCTGGCTGGTGGGAGACCCTCCTTTGGCAGCTGGTGCTAGAGTTCCTTCGGGTCAAGGAGGAACTCTCTGGGATGCAGCAGGGGGGACCCTGGCCCTCAGCTGGCCTCCCAGCTCCCTGCCCTGAGGTCCTGGGCTGGCAGCCAGTCTGACCCCAGAGCCGGGCTGGCTGTGAACCAAACCTCAGGCAAGCATCTGTCCCTGCGTGCACTCTGGGCGGCGGTCTCCGGTCTTCACAAGGACAAGGGTCACCTCCAGCCTCGCCTTATGGACAAGGCCTTCCAGGATGCTTGGCCAAGGCGGCAGCCCTGGTCGCCATCACGTTACCTTCAGGACCTTTCTCAGGAGTGGTGTGAGGGAGGCTCTTGTATGTGTGTGCCGCTCGTCTGTCCCCGCATGACAGCCGTGCCTAGAATGGGGCTCACACCCAGTGGCCCCCGCCTAACGGTGGGGGACCTTGAACTTTACTTCCAGCTCATTCCAGAGCAGAGAACCATGTCCTGGGCACACTCTGCTTGGGCCCTTCCTTGATCTCTCCAGGTGGCACTGAAGCTGCACCTTTGCCTCCGTGGAGGGACATTTTGAAAATGCTCAAAGAAGCTGGGTGCAGTGGCACTTGCCTGTGGTACCAGCTACTTGGGAGGCTGTGGTGAGACCAGCCTGGGTAACATAGTGGGACCCCGTAACAAATTTTTAAAATAATAATAATAATAAAAAAACAGGGCCCAGCCAGGTGCAGTGGCCCACACCTGTAATCCCAGTGGCTCTGGAGGCTGAGGCAGGAGGATCAAAAGTTTAAAGCCAGCTTCAGCAATGGCGAGGAGCTAAACAACTCAGTGAGACCCTGCCTCTAAATAAAATATGAAATAGGGCTTGGGATGTGGCTCAGTGGTTGAGTGCCCACTTTTTTTTTGTACCTGGTACAAAAAAAAAAAAAAAAAAGGGTCCAAATGAGAAAAGTTCCCAAAAGTATTCAGACAGACAGTCCAGAGCTCAGCCCAGCTCTGCAGAGCCTCCATTCCTGCTCACCTGGAAAGTTGTTTTTTTTTTTTTTTTTTTTAAAGAGAGAATTTTAATATTTATTTATTTTTTAGTTCTCGGCGGACACAACATCTTTGTTGGTATGTGGTGCTGAGGATCGAACCCGGGCCGCACACATGCCAGGCGAGCGCGCTACCGCTTGAGCCACATCCCCAGCCCATTTTTTTTTTTTTTAAAGAGAGAGTGAGAGAGGAGAGAGAGAGAGAATTTTTAATATTTATTTTTTAGTTCTCGGCGGACACAACATCTTTGTTGGTATGTGGTGCTGAGGATCGAACCCGGGCCGCACGCATGCCAGGCGAGCGCGCTACCGCTTGAGCCACATCCCCAGCCCCGGAAAGTTTTGTTTTATCTGAATTCAATCCAGGGTTGCTTTATCATTGAACCATATCCCCAGCCCTTTTTATTTTTTATTTTGAGACAGGCTCTCATGAAGTTGCTGAGGCTGGCTTTGAACTGTGATCCTCCTGCCTCAGCCTCCAGAGCCACTGTGATTACAGACCTGTGCCACACTCCTGGCTTTGCCTGGAAAAATTTTGAGAACATCTGGGCCCACGCCTAGTGAGTTTCCACATGGTCAGCAAGAATGTTTTTCTCTCCGGGTGCAGTGGCACACACCTGTAATCCCAGTGGCTTGGGGGCTAAGGCAAGAGAATCATGAGTTCAAAGCCACCCTCAGCAACTTAGCAAGGCACTTAAACAACTCTGTCTATAAAGGGATGGGGATGTGGCTCAGTGGTTAAACCCCTCTGGGTTCAACTCCCAGTACCAAAGAAAGAAAAAAGAAAAAAAAAAAGACTATTTTCTCTTTGCCTTGTCTGCTAAAAGGCTCCTACCCCTGGCAGGTCTGCAGGGCTAGGCCTGGCTGAGGGCTACTCTGCTCTTTTCCTCCCTCATCCATTTGATCATCCGAAAAATCTTTGCCCGGGTTTGATGTGTACCTGGTACTTTTCTAGGTGCTAGAAAATGAACAGTGAAGAGAACAGACACAATCCCTGTGGAGCTGACAGTCAGGCAGGGGGCGGGAGGCCAGAACACAACCTAACAATTACCCTGTGTCACACCAGAGGCAATAAACGCTTAGGAAGGAGGGCTTTTGAGCTGTTTTACTGGCATAAGTAGTAGAAAAAATGGGGCAGTAGTTGGAGGGAAAGGGGCCAAGGGAGGCTTTTTTATTTTTTAGTTGCTGATGGACTTTATTTATTTTTATGTGGTGCTGAGAATCGAACCCAGTGCCTCACACATCCTAGGCAGGCACTCTACCTCTGAGCCACATCCCCAGGCCAAGGGAGGCTTTTTTTAAAATGAAAAAGACTTCATCATTTTAATCTACATTTTATTCACTTGTGATCATGTCACATATTCCTCCAGATGGGGGTCCAAGGATGTCCCCCAAAAGGAAGAAGGGGATCTCAAGATGGCCCTGAAGATTCTTGACTTACACTTCAGGAAGAAATTTCAGAACGTGTCCAAACAACAAAGATTTGTTCAGGCCACCGAGGATCAGAGCAGACACACTCTAAGGAGAAAAAGGGTGGTGCTTGAGGGGGATGTGCTTTGGGGTTCCAGGCTCATCCTTAAAAGTGAATAGGAGGGCTGGGGATGTGGCTCAAGCGGTAGTGCGCTCGCCTGGCATGCGTGCGGCCCGGGTTCGATCCTCAGCACCACATACCAACAAAGATGTTGTGTCCGCCGAGAACTAAACAATA